TATTGACTATAAGACACTAGAAGAGATTTGGATAAGTAAACCTGTCAATTATTATTCTTCCTTTAGGGTATTTGGGTGTGATGCATATTCTTTAATTCCAAAAGAGCAAATAACTAACTTGGATGCAAAACCCAATAAATATGTTTTTCTTGGCTATGTTAATAGTAGATTGTGGGATCCTATTAACCACAAGATTATAGTTAGCCTAGATATTATTTTCAATGAAAATTTCATGCATAAAAAAAATGATGAGCCGGATGCAAAAACTATAACCAACGAGATAGTGGTTAGGACCAAGAACTTGTTTAAGAGCTTGAAGAATATGTAAGTGGCGTTGAAATACAAATATCCGATAGACCTAAAAAGGCTTATGTGAGGTTTAACTATTGAGTCTTATCTTATGCTTGCATAACATAGGAAAGTGAGCCAGTTTCTTATCGTGAGGCATATGAGGTCGAGGAAATCGATCAGTGGAGAGCATCAATAGAAGAAGAGATGGAGGCCCTGCGGAAAAATAAAACATGAGACCTTGTCAAATTACCAGGGGGTGAAATACAATTGGTTGCAGGCGGGTCTTCAAAAGGAAGAAAGGTCCTAATGATTCCGTTGAAAGGTACATAGCTCAATTGGTTATAAAAGGTTATACCGGTGTTAAAAAAACACCGATCTGATCTGGAACTGGGCGATCCAGATTGGGTATCGGCTGGGCCGTTTTGGATCCAGCTATAAAAAGTGATCCGGCAGTGTAGAAGGCATTTTTGTCATTTTCGTTACAAAAGACGATAATCACATGGCCATGTGTGCCCCCATTAGCCATGGGCCCCTAGCGCCACGTGTCCTTGGGCACACTGCCTCATGCTTTTCAAACATGCAATTATATGTGGTACTGAGGAAGGTTTTATTCATGTCAAACTTCTTTCATTTTTTTGATGTGGGATTTGAGCATGGTACTTATTCTGATTAAAAGGTAATACAATATAGGCTTATAGGCTTTTATTCTCATGAATAATACAACAAGTGGCTTATGGTGTAATTGGTTATCATGTCCTTCTTACACACTGAAGGTCCTTGGTTTGAACCTGCATAGCACGATCTTCTTAGTTTTTTTGTCAAAATAAATAAACGCATTAGAGCTGCGATTATTGTAAGCTTAAATTAGATATGAAAAGGAATATAGGCTTGGAGCATGTTAGCTATTTTTTTTTCTCTCATCTATGAATGCCTATTGTTAGATTTTTTTTTACCTAGGAATAAATGGTCTAATTATATAACATGACGGTCTTTAACATAAATTTAGGAATATTAATTTAAAGATAGGGTTCATACAATGAGATCATTTGAAATCTCTCTCTCGCTCTCTACTAGCAATCTATTCCATTAAATTTATTCTAGAAACCTAAAATATTAGTTTTTTGAAAAATTAAAGTGTTATTTCAAAAATTGGTACGCATTTTAATAATTTTTACATTGATAACCAAATCTTATATTTTATTTCTTAATTTTATTTGCATTATAAATTATGTAATGTACTATTTATTCTTACATTTATCAATGATATATTTTAAATTAGATGATATTACAAAATATTTTGGATTTGTTATTATTTGTATAGCAAAATAATTATAAAATGTAAACCAACAATTTCAATTTCAGTATATAATATTATAATTAGTTAGGCTGTAATAATTTTGGATTATAGTTAGTTACGTTGTAATAATTTGGGGGTTTTTTTAATGGATTAGGGTTTTCCGTCAATTCGAGATTTTGGTGGCCATTTTTTTTGTCAATTTAATCCATTCTTTATTGTAATCCATATATAATTATATACTTCTTCCATGATAATTCTATGATTTTTCTTTTGTGTGATGTAAATTTAATGGTTAACATAAGTTCATATAGGAAAGAACATCTAAATATTCGCATATTGATAAAAAAAAAATGAACGTTAATAATGTAGTACCCCCATTTCTTATTGGATTCCTAAAAATAACATTTATAATGATTTTTAATAATTTGTTTTTGTTTTTTTATTGTCGGATCTGACCGATTCGGTTGATTCCCGATCCGAACTACCGATTCACCAATCCAGATGGGTTTTTGGGGTGCACGATCCGGGGCACCGATCCGTTTTTTAAACCACTAGGTTATACTTAGAAATCATGTATTGATTTAATAAGATTTTATCTCAGGTTGTGCGCATGTCCACTATTAGAGTTGTCTTGGCTATGGTTGTTGTTCTTGATTTAGAGTTATAACAATTAGATATGAAAACTACATTTTTGTATGGTGACTTGAAAGAAAAAAATTATATAAATCAACCTTAGGGTTTTATTGAAGAAGGTAAAAAGAATTTGATTTGTAGGTTCAAGAAATCGTTGAATGGGTTGAAAGAGGCATCAAGGTGTTGATACAAACGATTTGACTATTTAATGTTGAGGTTGAATTTTTGCAGATGTGAAGTGGATCATTGTGCTCATTTTCATGGTTAATGTGATTGATGCTTTATTATCTTACTATTGTATGTTAATGACATGATTATTACAAGACCAAATAAAGAAAATATTGCTACACTTAAAGCTCAGTTGGCTAGAGAATTTGAGATGAAAGATTCAGGAGCCGTTAATTGAATTTTTGGGATGAGCACACCAAGAGATAGGAAAATTAGGAAAATCTAGTTAACTCATAAGAGTTATGTGACTCTTTAATATGTAGAATGCCAAACCAGTTAGTGGTATTTCCTGTGCATATGAAGTTGTCTTTGAAATAATATCCTAGCGTTGAAGCAGATATGACATATATGTCTCGAGTACCATATTCATCAGCAGTCAGGAGTCTCATGTTTGCTATAGTTAACACCAGATATGACATTGCACATACAGTGAGAGTTGTGAGCAGATAAATGACAAATCCTGGCCATGATCACTGTGAAGACCGTTGTGAAGTGGATCATTCGGAAGGGAACTTGCAACACTGGTATTTGTTACAGTGGAATGGATTTAAAAGTCACTGATTATGTTGATGCATATTTTGTAGTTGACTTGGATAAAAGAAGGATTATTACCAGTATGTTTTTTTTGTTTGAAATGTGGTGCAGTTGGTTATCAAGCTTACAATTTGTGGTGACTGTCTTCTACAGAAGCTAAGCATGTGTCACTTACGCATGCATATAAAGAAGCAATTTGACTAACACGTTACTTAGTGAATTTCAAGTTATACAAGAAGGTATATCGCTTCATTGTGATAGCCAGTGTACCTTATTTCTAGCAAAGAATCCAACTTTCCATGACAAGACTAAACCATATCACTTTATTTGTGATGTGGTAGAACATGTATGAATTTTACTACAGAAAAGTCATATTGATAACAATCTAGTAGATATATTAACCAAGACGATTGGGAAGGGGAAATTCATTTGATGCAGGACTTAATTGGGGCTTGTGGTTATTTGATGGTTAGTAACTTGTGGACAATAATTTCTCAGAGCATGTTAGCCTAAATGGAAATATGTCTTCAAGTGGGAGGATGTTGTATGATGAAACCCATATTTCATGGGAGGGCTTTTCTTTGGAGGATTTTGTGGAAATCCCTCTATCTTAGGAAGCTCACGTTATTACTTCATTTCATTTTAGACTTCCTATTTTATGGGAGATAAAAATCTAGTAGATGTAGAAAACTTAAAAGAAAGGAATAAAGAGAGGCCTAACGTGAATAGCCCATGGGTTTTTCTCTTTAGAAAAATTATTATGAAGAGAGAGGAAATAAGAGATTAAAAAATACAGAGAAGGGTTGGTTTTTTAGTATTTCGGGTGGGTGTTATTGAGAAATGACTTTATTTTAAGGTTTAAGAGAAAGCTTGCAATATCTTGTATTCACAATCCCTTGTATTCTTTACGTTTGCATGATGTTTTTTTTATTTGTGGAAAAAAATTTTACTCTTTCGAAAATAACTAAAACTTTCTGTTATTATGATGTCTGTCTTTTCAACTTCACAACATTTGTTTTTTAAAAAAGACAAAACTACCCATTTTTTGTTTTTGAAAAACTGAATTTTACTGCTTATAACTCGACATGTTAAAAAAAGAAATAAGAATAATTATATATATATATATATATGACGGGTTTTTTTTTTGCTTTTTAATAAAATTAGATTACTCGAACCCTTGACGCGAAGGTGTGAATGCATGATAACCAAAAAGCCAATTCAACCCCAAGTTTAAATATGTGGGCATACATAACATTGATATTTAAAAATTTCAATTTTTGAAAAATTAAAAATTAATTTTTTTTTGGTTTTTTAAAAACAAACAATAGGCAGTCTCGTCTTTTTTAAAAGAGTATTATGAAGTTTAAAAAACAGATATATGTGTAATAACATAAAGTTTCAGATATTTTTATAATAACAAAAAAATATAATAGATATTTATGTAATTTTTTTATATTTTTTTCCAAAAACCTTGATTTTTACCTTCTAACGGTTTTTTTTGGAAAAATTATAACTTACCCCAGCCTAACTTTTTCTCTCACTTTTTTCCCAGAACAAAATTTCCATCCAAATATCCCAGGGAAAAAAGTTCATTTTTTAGATGAAATTCCTTTCTTGTATACAAAAATCATTTTGGACAGATTTGACTTTGACTTTTGGACCCAATAGCATATTGCCGCGCACCATCACATTACTGGAACACATAAGTTCCAGACTGCCATTTACAACGGTCGGATCGCACTTTATATAGTGCGAGAGTCTTACTGCGGAACTGTATTTTACACATATCCTTACTGCCGAACTGAATGTCACATAGTGCCGGAACGCTACCGCTGGACCTAATTTTGCAAGTATATTTTTGAGAAAAAAGTGAGAAAAAAAATTACGTCGAGGTTAGTTACGTTTTGGTTTTATTTTTTATTTTTATTTTTTATTTTCCCTTTTCTTTTTTTATTCTATTTTCTAACACGAATGATGTTCGCCATACCATTCTCTGTCAGACCATGAAATGTCTATGTCGTAGTACCGGGACGGTTTCCTAATCTTCCCGAATAATATCAGCTACGAAGCTTGCCTTGTTTCAGTGCAGACACAAGACTCACTCTCTTAACAGTTGTACCACCGATTAAGGAAACCACGTTAAAAAAGAAGAGGCACGAAGCAAGTAGCACTGCATTGGCGCACCCACAATCCCTCGTTCGAACCCCAAGCTACGTTCTGATCGCTCGGCAAAGGCAGCAAAGCTCTCGTTACTTCTCACTGTGGAAGAAGAAGCATTCGAAGATCATATGACCCTGAAATGCTAGGGCACAAAGTATGCCGATGAAAAACTTCATAACCTCTCTCTTCGAAGCCGCTACACCCACCTCCTCGGCCGAGTCTCTCTCGCGCCTCAGGCCTCATTTAAAGCCGCCTAAAACCTCTTCTTCTTCAGCCCCCATTAGTAAAGGAGCATCAGCAGAGATTTCCTCTCTCCTCTCTGGTACTGTGAATTTATCTTTCATTCATTTCTATTGTGGGTTTGTCTTATCGCCTATGTTTATACGCTTTGTGTGTATGTTTCATTGATCTGTATTGTGGTTTTGCCCTGTTCCTATGCTTATACGCTTTGTGTGTGCGTGCGTGCGTGCGTGCAAGTGTTTCGCTGTTTCCATTGATTGGTTTGTTTTGTGAAGTTAGTTTTTCTTTTCTTTTTCTGGGTGAGGGGCTTGACGTTGGCTTTCCTGCTAAGCAGTGGTTTTAAATAAGGATTGTTTTATTGGCTGGAATGTTTTGCAAAGCTGGTTCCTGCTTCAACTTTGGTTTGAGTTGTTTTTGTTTGGGTGGAAACCTGGCTTTGTTTTAGAGTTTGTCATTTATTCCTTGGGAAAAAAATGAGAAATGTTTATTTTTAGTCAGGAAAAGTAAAGCATCGGTATGTTCAGTCGAGTTTGTTAAAGAAAAAAAAAAGAAAACAAGATTTTGGATTACTTGTAATGTCATAAATGGCCGATTTTTCTAACATAAATCAGCTGTAATTCAAACAACATATGTTGAAGATATAATGGTTCAGTCCTTAATGAGATACACGAAAAATATAATGGTTCAATGGCTGACACGTATGTTGTGGTCGGCCTCGAGTTATGATTCTTAATCATCGATGCAACTTGAGCTGTAATCATCACAATCTCAATTTCATGGTTAATATTGAGTTTTAGGAATGAGTATGATAATCTTCACTTAGTGTCATGTAGTACACCATAGAGAACTTAGTTAATTTTCTTTGTGGGTACTGAAGGTGCTTTGTCTTAGAAGAACTATTGTTTAGGTGAGGTGCAACTGAAATTTGCAATGTTGATATGGGGTTTCACACCAGGCATTTAGGTGATATTTTTTGTGCATGAAATCTCTAACCTTCACTTCATAGTCATAGTTTCATGCTGAAACTAATTAAATGAAGGGCCTTTTTTTGTTGAATGCTATAATTTAACCAAATCAAAAGATTATTAAATATGGACTCAAGATGAGGAACCGGGGAAAGCCAGCTTAAAAGGAGTCAGAAGAGGACAGTGCGATCACCATAATATGAAGTTAGGATTTGTGTTACGATGTACTCCCATATGGGCATGAGTAGAAAGGGGGCTATTATTGGCTTCAAAAAGGCAGATCTGAAGGTTGTACCCATGGTTCGCTACAGCATTACAACCTGATTTCCTTCACAATATATATAAAAGGCACACCATATTGACTCATTAAGTAGTGAACGGATCGAAGAAATCCTTCGCCTGTAATGCCATAGAGGTTCCTCTCTGTCCTGAATCCAAAATCCCCAATTCAGTCAGTAATCAATAAAAAAGAACCAATTACCACTAAAAAGCCCCAATGCTCCTAGTCTCCTATGCCAAAACAATCACCAAGCTACCAATCACCCACTCAAACCGCGAATCTCCAATTCCAAATTCTCAAATCACCATTCCTTCAACAAATTGATAAAGAAATCACCAGTCACCAGTTCACACTTCGCAACCCTGCATAAAATAAAAAAAGATACATAAATTCCTTACAAGCTTTAAACTTGTATTAAAACTAGAAAAACTATCTTTCACAAAAAACCACATTAAAACATTGACTCCCTTTACTTTTCCTGAAAATGATTGATAATTCACTTGAAGCACTTAAATAATATAACCCAAAAGAAAAGAATTCAATTTTTCATATCAATATCAATATAACGGAGACTGAAAATGCTAAAAACAAAAATCCAAAATCTTAATTATGGAGCAATTTTTATAGTTCAAGATTTTCCATAGATGCATTTAAGTATCAAACAACCAAGAAAATCCTACATAATATAAATTAATCTTTCATACCAAAATAATAAAAAACACGAAAATAAAATGTGCTGCTTGTAGGTAACAATGTTTAGTTTGGAAAACTGCCATTTGTTTTCTTCATGTCCTATACAGAAATAGAATGTGCCAATCTTCTATTCTTCAAAGGAGCACAAAAAGCATAAGCAAGGATAAAAAGAAATGTGTTATGAACATTTTCATCGCGGTTGTTTTATCTTTCTTTTATGTGATTGATCAGAAACTATCCATATTTTTCAATTTTTCTAGTTTTGTGATTTTTCATAAATAATTTGATGCCTGTATATTTGGTTCGGTTAACTTGTAGTTTCCTTCCTAAGCATACTTTTTTTTGTTTTCTTATATGTGCTTCTTGTAGCTTTTACATTCATAATCTCGTCTCAATGCTATAATTCTATGCTAAACTTTTATCATCCTGCATGACCTTTTTCTTGTTAAAATATGTGAATCTGTCTCAGGCATCATTAACTTGAAGTCATCTGATTCGGCCTCTTCTTCATCACCTAAAGATGGGGTATCAATTGAGAATGCCCTTGTTATACCATGGTTCTCAGATGTGCTCCATCCAAATATTTCACAGCGCCGTAAAGAGCTACTAAGAGAAAGAAAGAAGAAATGGATTTTCAAGAACACACAGAATCGGCGCTTCGAGAGATTAGTGAAATTGTGTGCTGATAAACTAGGAACAGAAGCAACACTTGATGTTTTTAGTAAACTGGGGAGAGAAAATGGTGTCAAGGAATACAATGCATTGATAAAAATTTGCATAGAGAAGGCACAACAATGTGTTGATGAGGAAGGATCGTCTGCTCAAATTCATAGTGCTGTTCAACTTCTGAGATCAATGAAAGAACAAGGCTTAGAATTGAATGAAGATTGTTATGGTCCTTTACTTCTCTACTTGGCTAATAAGGGCATGTCCGAAGAATTTCTTTTGTTGAGCGAACTGATCAAGGATGAGAACTGTGAGTCTTGTTATCGATTGGGTTACTATGAAATGCTACTCTGGATCAATGCTGATAATCAAGAAAAGATTCAGGAACTGTGTGACTCTGTTGGAGTGGAAAATACTGAGCATAATGTAAAGTTGGCTGGTACATACTCCCTTGAATAAAATAGCACTATGCTTTAATTCATACTCTTTCTGTGCATTTTTATGATGATGTCCATTTCGTTGTCACATGTTCAATATATATGTCCTTGGATCTTTGTTAAAACAATTGAAGTGTAATACAATGATGAAACAGAAAAAGAGACCTGTTCAAAATTAAGTATGAAATGTGAAATTTTAGCTGTTGAGCATCATAATGCTTTGAGATTTATTCATTATACTTCATTAGTTAGGTTTCTTGTCTTGTTGATTATGTTCGTTTGCATAACTATCACTTATCTTGTTGCTTGCATTATTTATTTATTAAATTTTTTTGACTTTTACAGTGGTAAGGTTTGATTGAGACCCTGGATAATGATCATCTACTATGACAGTCATTACTTTGGGCCATGACCTTTTTTCTTATACTGCAACTTGCAATAAACTTTTTTGTCTCTTGGAAATAGTATAACTTGAAAAGGAGTTATTTGTATGAAAGTACTACATTTCAAATTGAGTGAAAGTTTGAAAGACATGGTGGGTGGTGCCTTCACATGTATATAGTTGAACTGAATTCAATGACATTAATTTTTTGCTCAAATCCATCACTGTAAAATTGGACTAGTCATCTGGTTGGTTTCTGAACTTATCTAATCCTTATGGATAAGTTGGCTGTTGTTACATGCTTTCTTTTAATGATCACGTGGAATATTCTTCTTAGTAAGCCAAAAGTCAAGTCGAGTTTTTTCAAGTTAGTGCCTGTTCCAGCACTTCTTGAAGTGTACTTCACTATTTAGTGTTTCAGGAATAATGTCCTAATGATAAACCTCTGACCACTTACTTAGGCTTGTATAGTCATCAAAGAAGTTTTTATGGTTGATGTTTAGCAAATTGTAGTGCAGCATAGGCATCCAAGCTACTTATAGTTGATAGTTTTTTATTGGTGATCTTTCCTGAGGGAAGGTGTTTTTTTCTATTAAAATAGAACCAATAATATGTAATAAAAGATGTTGAGATGGCATCTTGGTACAATGAAGAAGTAAGAAGGAAACTGAAATTGAGGAACTTCATTTGTTCATTATCTTAAGCATCTTTCACTTCATTATCACGGCAAGGAATATGGCAAAAAATGACTGGTTGGCTGTCACCTCATTTCTAGTCCATTGAATCACATTCAAGCAATCTCATTCCACTGTCAATGGGAGCCATGCTTGATTGTGGTTTCCATTAAGGTTTGATTTAGAAGGCCTCATATTCTTGAATATACCCTTACTTGTTTTGATTGATTCTATATTTCACAAAAGCATGCTTTGTTTATAGTCATCGCTGTACTGCTGTGAGCAACTCTTTTCTGATCTATTTGAAATTCTAACAGGATGTTTGAACTCCATTGGCAGCAAACTACTTCTTGGCTTTGTGTGAGAATGACAAGAAGCTGGAATTGCTGAGATTGCTAGAAGTAATAGACATTAGAAAAGTTTCATCATCAGATTGCTTGGCTGGTCTATTTAAGGCCTTAGGGAGGTTATCAATGGAGGATTCAGCAGAAAAGTACATTTTTGCTTTGAAAGCCACTGGTACTTCTCTCAAACATTTTTCTGCTTAAATATATCTAGATAGAGTTGTGTAATCAGCATGTTCATTTTGACCTAATGATAACTATTTGTCTCTTGATACTTTTGAAGATATGCTGAAAAATAACCTAAACAGTGCTTGTGAATTCTTGTACTTGAACTCTTATTTTGTATGAATGTTTATATATCTTGACGAAGGAAATTTCTGCTTAGATACTTCGTTTAATCTGTTGTTCAATACCGATAATTCTTTCATTGGCAAATCTTTAGTTGTTCCTTCACTCTTATTTTTATGACTATGCAACACTATTATGGAGCGGCAAAGTCTTCCCATTGAATACCATTGAATACTTCCCTTGGGATGATAGCATACTAAGTTTTTCGCCAACCCTCTCTATTCTCTCACATTGTTACTGTCAAGTGCATTTTTTTACTTTGGTCTTCCCATAGACCACTCCTTTTGCACCGTCCCATCTCTGCCCATGTGCTACACCTCTCTAGGCCCTCTTCTCTTTGTCCTTTGAAACTTTTCTTCTTGCCTCCTCTTTATTAGGGCATGTTTGGTTGGTGCGTAAATATTTCCCCCTGAAAAATATTTATATATGTAAACACTTTGCAGGAAAATGCTTTGGAAACTTTATTTTCTCCATGTTTGTTAATACGTTTAAAAAGCACTATGTACTGAATTTTATATGTTTGGTAACTTGATTTAAATATATTTCACAAATATATATCTAAATATAGTTCATAAATATATTAAATATATACACGCATTATTCAAATATTATAACTAAAAATATATAGTTATGTAATATGTTATATTATTTGTATATTATATAGTAAATATTATTATTTTATATATAATTTATATGTTAAATATATTATTTAATATACAAATAAAAGACTATATAATATATTATATTATATTGTAAATAGTGAGTTGTGAATAGTGGGTCAGACACGCATAGCATTCTAGGTAATTTGTAATTGTGTTTACAAAACATACGAATATTATTTCATGTATAGTTGAAACTGAGATTTTGATTTCATATTTATAGTTGAAAATGGGTCAATGGTAATTTGTTTGTGCCATTGTCTTGCTCTTTGTTGAAATCTGAATTGAACCCAAATCTCTTTCCCAATTATCTTTAAGAATAGCTGCCACTTCTAGCATTATTAGAAATGTAATCTGAATTGATTCCAAATGTATATCCCAATTATCTTTGAAAATAGCCTTCAACTTCTAGTTCTATTAGAAAAGCAATTGTGTAAGAAACTCTAACCTTTTTCCGAAATATATGACTTAGTTGATGTGGTGAAATGAAAGTAAATGCATTTAATGAGAAAATATAAGATTTTTTTTTTTTTGTTTTGTTTTCGTACACATTGTGTTAGTGGAATATCGAGGGGTATGGGCTGTATAATTTCTAGTTATGCAAGGAGGGTGAAGACATGGAGTACGTAATTTTTAATGCTCCAAGGCCCAAGTTGTACCTGCCTTCAAATTACCTACAAAAGACATTAGTATGATAATTTGTTAAGTACTTTTTAACTTTAGCCATTTGTAGTTGAATGTTAATTCATGTTAACTTTGACCACATTGGATTATTATGTGGTGCGCCTATGTGTGTTGGTTGATTAGAGTCTCACTGCGGTTAATTAAACATCACGGTGGATATAATCTCCCAAATATTTGGTATCATAAACAGGGGAATTGGAGGTACGAGAGGAGCTCACTATCTTCGAAGTGTTAAACGCCCCCATCTCGAGTAATATTCCGAGGTGCAAAAGGGTTTTGGCGAGTACACTCCCAAGATACAGCCAGATCAGAATAAAATTCCCGAGTCCCTGAGTTGCACACTCATGAGACTCGTATAAAACCAGAGTAACAAAAAATATTGATGTCTTTCCAATTGGTATGGTTCTATAGACATCAATTGAAAACAAACTTATCTCTCTCTACAAAAATCAACATCCAATCGGCACAATAAAAACATTGATTAGGATGGCAAACTACTTCCTCTCACTACAAAATATATTATCCAATCGGTATACTACAATAAAACATTGATTGGGAACGTCTTCTCTCTCATTAAAAATTAGTCTTGCAATCGATAAAATGCTAACATCGATTGGGTATAAAACACATCGAAATTTTTTGTATAAAAATATATTAAGTTCAAAAACTTATTAAGTTCAAAAACTTATCGGATGATAAGAAAGTCACGCATCAGAGAGCGAGAAAACCGTACATTAAACAAAATCCATCATTCACTTCATGATGCCATGAGATAGTCATCCAGTTCATTGAGAGAAAACCGTCTATGCTTCTGTCAAAATTAGTGAGAGAAAGAGCCTACGAACTGAGATAGAGTTCACTGTGAGGCTTCCTATTAACACGGAGTCCTCTATTTTTAACCCGTAGGGAGAGAGAGTTTGTTTAAAGGAGAGAGAGTTCGTTTAAACGAGAGAGGGAGAGAGGCAAACAAATTGTAAAACCTCATGAGAAGGTGTCAATTTTACAAGAAAAAGGGGTTGTAAGGTGACCATGTAAAAAGGTGGTTACACCTCTTAAAGAAAAAGATGGTGGACCAAAGGTCCACCCTATGGAAATAGACTAGCAAAACTTTTTAAGAAAATGGGGTTGTTTTGAAATACTTTTTAAAGAAAGAAGCTAACAATGTGTTGGGTTTTTGTGGCATTTAAAGGCCTAAAAAGCTTGTAAAAATGATATGCATAGTGGAATTTGCACTTCAGTGGAAGTGTGTGTGTTAACTGACCAAGGGTTGGGCGATTTATGGCCCTGGTCATGTCTAAAACCCTTAGCCCCAGGCATATTGTACAAACAAGAAGGGTTTGCAGTGGGTCATCCCTAGTTCAGGTCAGAGAGATGCCCAGGGATCATATTTGTAGGCTAAAATAATGTACTCAGTTATTTTTTGAGCCTTCCAGTACAAATTTTTCGTGAGCAATTCTGCCTCTTCGTTTTTGAGAGATTTGACAAACCTTATTAACCTGTGTCATCGCCAGACTGGAAGCACCCCTCGATGGACCCCTCCTCCTGAGGGACAAGTAAAGCTCAATTTCGACGGTATCTCGCTTGGTAATCCCAGCGCAGCCGGAGTGGGGAGGGGGTGCGGGGGGTGTATAGGAACTTCGAAGGACAAGTCCTCACCTTTGCGGATCACATAGGTATTCAGGACTCGCAAACTGCGGAAGCTAAAGCCCTGCTTATTGGGGTCAAGAACTTTAACCTCTCTTGGGGAAGAACCTTACAGATTGAAGGAGATGCCAAAAACATTATCAAGTGGGGATCTGGTCTTAGTCAACCACCTTGGTATCTAAACAATATCGATGAAATTCATCACTTATGCAGGGACTTGGAAGTCACTTGGAAGCACACCCAAAGAACCGCAAACGAGTCAGTAGACGTACTCGCTAAAGAAGCTGCCCGACATCTCTCCCAATTGCTAATAGATGACCTGTGTGGTTTTTTTCACCCCTTGTAATAGATGTTGTAAAGGGCCAAATCTAGAAGCCCCTTCCTTGCTTTTCTCTTTTCTGCTATAGTAAATGGTGTTCCTATTAGTCTTGTTAGCCTTTTCGGCTGTCTGTGTGTCTGAGCCTGTATCGTCTGGTCCTCCTCTCAGGGACTATGACACAACTGAGGTCCACGAGTGGTGGACCCAACTCTGTCGATGTAACTTCCTTTATTTATTAATGTTAAGTCAACTTCTCTCTCAAAAAAGAATTGTGTGGTCTCCTGTATGCCGTTGTAGGCCTGTGAGAGCAAGAGTCAAATCCTCAACAAACTTTCGCACATGTATACGTCACAGCTACATGGAACATAGTCATTTAGAGAGACACATGTACATGTGCATTGAGAGAGCCCCCATTTGCACTGTAGTGACAAGTGCTAGACTTGTTTTTAAGGGCGAACTGGAATCCACATTCCAGGATCATGATCCCACTATTTATTATCTAACTTTGACAAGCCAATCATGAGCCTCTGTAGAAAGACTGAGTCATGGGAATATGTTGGGTTGAATAAGAGAACATTTATGGATCATGGTTTTTGGAGCGAGTGGAGTGCCCTTATTATCGCTTATTTTAACCTATTGGTACTAGTCCTCTCCTAGTATATTTTTGGTATTATATATATTTTTGATTTTTAAATATTTTTTTTGAAATTTAAAATATTATTTATGCTGTATATTTTCATAAAAAAATATTTTTTGAAAATTTCACAATTTTAAATAATATATGTGGGATCAAGGATCCAGTCTTACATGTGAGACCACGTGCACCCTAAGGACTACACCGTAATTTTATAACAAATAAGTGACGATGCCGCCTTTTAAGCAAAAAGGGGGTCATGCCATGTTTTGTGGAAATAGGGGGGACACCCAATTTTTTTGACATTATGAAATATTGTTTAAAATTTTAAAAAGGGGACACGCCATTTTTTATGGAGAAAGGGGCATGGCCCATTATTTTGATTATATGGTTTAAATTTTATATTAAGATGAGAAATCTAATGAGATTTGGTTTTCTATATCTTATGGGAGATCTAGAGATCTACTAGATAATATTTAAGTTTGATTTCAAACTTAAATGAGAGATCTAATAAAGTTTAAATTTGAGTGGATATATATTTTAAATAAGAATTGGATTGGGTCAATTGTAATGGGATAAGGTTCCTAATCTTTCCACCTAAAATCATGATGGTTGATTTTTTGGATGGATGGCTTTAATTAATCTCTCACCCTACAAATTTCCTAATTATCCTAAAGGGTTTAGCTGGAAATTAGATAAGACAATACTAAGAATGAATCATATTCAAACTATGAGAAGGAATCCTATTCAAACTAAAAGATAGATTTCATTCTATAAAAGAACCTAGTTTGAGCCTCTTTCAAACATGATTAGAGATCTCTCTCACGTCCCAAAAAGTTTCTTTCCCTCTCACGCCCAATTCCATTACGCCACTCTTATGTAGGGCT